CAGTGTTCACAGTGTTGTTGTCAGCAAACTTTTGGCTTTGTAATGCCTATTTAGGGGACCGAATAGATGATAATCTGATGGTGCAAGGTCAGGACTCTAAGCTGGATGTGACAGAACCTCTCAACCAAGGTTGCTGATGATTTCCAATGTTGCACAAGCAAATGATGAGGTGATGGTGATGCAGATCACTCATGTCATGTTGCCCATTTTCCTGCCATTCCACCCACTTTTAGACATTTTGGTGGTTCATGCAGTTACCTCCATACTGTCAACCATCCTGTGATAGATGTTGGTGGTCCTCACAACTTCTGACTGTAAAATCTGATAGCTGCAGGCTGTTCTATTGCAGGCCTTGCAGGCCTATTTATACTATAGAAAAAGCCACTTTGACCTTATCCCTCCTCTCCTGCCCTCCCTAATGCAAATCAAGAATGCAGGTATCACTCAGGGTGAGAACTGTAGCAAAAAGGAGTAGGGATCTAATGGTGCTTCTCTGTACATGAACAACTTTTTCTTCAGATCAGTAAGCCATTATTGAATAGTTCCTATGTATCCTGCATTTGGTCTAAGGTACATTGGAGAGATTATGTACTCAGATGGATGTACTGACCCATGCAATCTCCCTATCTTTAACACATAGGTGATACTCCATTTTTATGGCTAATTGCCTGGAACTAGAAGCAGTTTGGAATGAAAGTTAATTCCATTTTCAATGTTATACCGGGTCAGCCCAAAGTTCTGGAACATGGCAAATTTGGATTTACTCAGGAAGTATTAGAGGAATCAGGTTCAAATTTTTCATAGAATGTTATTAGATATCAGAGTACATGTGACCAAAAAATTATTCAAAATGGCTTCCACCAGCCTTGATGACACGCTGGAGACGTACGTCCCTTGAAGGCGTTGGCTGAGGTGAACACATAATCCATAGGCATTTTGGCCCACTCCTTGGTCAGGGCTGACTTGAGGGAGTCCAGATTCAGGTGGCTGATGCTACTGGTCTTGGTCTCCAATGAGGTCCACACAGAAAAGTCCATAGGGTTCAGATCAGGGGAAGAGGGGGGCCACTCCTCCTTGCTCAGAAATCCAAAATCTTGTTTTTTCAGCCAGTCCTGAGTAGCCTTTGCAGTGTGTGCTGAGGCACCATCTTGCATGAAGGTCCAGTGCTTCTTCCCAAATTTCTTCTTGCCCCAGGGGGTGACCGCATCCTCCAGGATGTGTTTGATCTAGAAATCCTTATTGACCTTGACTCCAGGGGGGCGAACACAAGGGGGTCTTGCCAGAGGCAGTGATGCCAGCCCTGACCATGACAGATGCCGGATGTTGCATCTGGAAAGCTGTTTGATGTCCTTGGCCAGAACCCTGTCTTTGTCAGTTGTGGATGCGCTGGACGGTGAACATCTCATCTGTGAAGAGAATGTCCTTCAGATCACCTTTTTCAGCTTTTTTAACATTTCCTTGGCACAGACAAACCTCCTGGCCTTTGTGTTCTCAGACAAGACCTGTCATTTCTGGAGGGTGAAGGACTGCATCTTGAGGTTGTATCGGACCAATTTCCTCATTGTTGTAGAACCCATGTCGGACTCCTTGGCCATCTAGGCCATGCTCCTCTGTGGATTCCAACGAATCTTGTCTCTGATGGACCTGATGGCCTTGGACGGTCAGCAGTTGAGCCTGTCTCACTGAACCATGTCAGGGTCCTCCAGACAAATTTCCTGTCAATGGCGAGGCCCCTAGGTTCCATCACAATCTCACTGGGGCGCCTTCAAACACTGTGCAGCTACAGAACTGCCTCTCTTTTTGCCTCCATTTCCAGAAGGAGAAATCCAATCTTTTGTTTTTTTTGTGGTGCCAACAGAGTAAACAAACTAAAAAAAAGTGTTGGAACATTTTTCCTTTACTCCCGCAATCACGCAAACAAAAAAGAATATTGATGTTCCAGAACTTTGGGCAGACCTGGTAGGTTTTGATCTCAAAACCACATTTTATATACTACACCAATACCTCTTTGGCATAGATTCAATTTGAGTTGATTTGAAGTTGTGTTGTTTCAGTTTTGAATAGTGTTTTCCAGTGACCTAACCCTGATGCAAAATGGGGTATTGGTGTATTATTTTACTGGAAAACACTTCTCAAACTGAAACAATGCAACTTCAAATCAACTCAAATCAAATCAACAAAAAATAGGGTATTGGTGTATATGTATTTTAAAAGGGTGTCCTCTGAACTGAAGAGTACAATTCTTATTCAAATATGAATAGCCTGGTAGAAGGTATAGGTGCCTGTGTGTAAATGCCAAAGCTTGATGAACTCCTTTTTTTTTCTCTATCTGTAACTGAAGCCTTCATACACAGATTTAATTTTAGTTTGCTTTCTTCTTTGGAAAGGCTGACCTGGTGTCAACCATCAAGAGGACAGCAGAATTCATCATGAATCATGGAGGGTATCTTAGGAAGATTGAGAGCCTTGGAACAAGAAAGCTACCATACCGAATGTGGAAGACAGGGCTCAGCCACAGAGAGGGCAAGTTAGTAAATATTATCCTCATCCCCAATCCTCTTGATTGATCTTTCACATATAGATTATACTTAATTGAAGTATATTGTTTGGTCAGTTATATCCTGATGGAGATAGACTCCAGATCAAAGAGCTTGGCAGAAATGGAAGACTACTTCAAGAGAGATGTCGACCTTGTGAGACACCGTGCCATTGCAGTCAAAGAGGAACCTAAGTTTGAGTGCACTCTTGAAGATGAGATGCTGCCTCCACCTTACAGGTTCAGTCATTCCTCTCAGTCACTTACATACAGGGTGACCGGAAAGTTCGGAGACTTGTAAAATTTTTCAGATTTTTTCAAGTGTGAGGCTTCATTTCTTCCACGAGTCTAGCTCTAGGCTTAATCTTTTTGCATTGCAAATATGACTCCTCCCGGTGCAGATATGGCATCAAAACCCAGCCGAGAAGCTGTGATTTACATGTTTCAGCAAGGTCATTCACCTGCAAAGATCATTATCGAAACCCAGCCGAGAAGCTGTGATTTACATGTTTCAGCAAGGTCATTCACCTGCAAAGATCATCAAGGAGCTGAAACTGCCACGATCCATTGCCTGCTACAAGGAACTTGGTACAACTCAGGATTGACCCAGAAGTGGCCGTCCCAGTGTCTTCAAGGATCCTGCTCTTTGAAAGCGTGTCAAAGCTTGAAAGCTTCTTGATCGAAACCCGGAACGGAAGTGACGAAGTCTTGCAAAGCACTTGAAGATCAAGCACGAAACTCTGCACTCCTATCTTAGAAAGAAGTTGGACATTTTCCCTTTCAAAAAAAAGAGTAGTTCAGGTGCTTACAAAGAAGAACAAGGAATTGCGGAAGCAAAAATCAAGGAAACTACTTGCGAGATTCAAGTGAAACTCACACCATAGGATCGTGTTCTCAGATGAAAAAGTTTTTACAGTTCAGGAAGCGTTTAATCCCCAAAATGATCATGTCTGGGCCAGAAAAGGGTCCAGAGTCTTGTCAGAATCTTGGTTTGTGCAAAGAATGCAAAAACCCCAGTCTGCCATGATCTGGGGTGGCATTACAGCCGACAGTAAAACACCCTTGTATTTTGTGGCTCCTAACATCAAAATCAATGCCAATCATTATCATAATGAAGTTCTGAAGAAGGTTCTCTATCCTTGGGCAAGGGATCATTTTGGGGATTCTTCCTGGACATTTCAACAAGACAATGTCCCAGCTCACACCAGCCGGTCGACAAAAGAGTGGTGTGTGCACCAGTTGCCAGATTTTATTGGTCCAGAAGCTTGGCCCTCCTGCTCCCGATTTAAATCCGATGGACTATAGTATCTGGTC